CGCTCTCAGAGGACTCCATCAAGCATGAAATCCGAACCCAGCAAGTTGCTGAAGAACTCATCGATGCCAAGGGCTTGCTCGAGAGCGTTCGAAACGAAGCTGCCAACCTCAAGGCCGAGAAGAAGTTGTGGAAGGATATCCAAGATCGTCTGAATCAAGACAACGAGAGCCTTGTTCAGGAGAAAACGAGACTCAACAATCTGTTGGCAAGCCAGCAATCCATGCAGAACGAGCGTGACATTTCCGAGTCTGAGTACAGGCGGAAGGCTCAGTCCAAGATCGACAACCTCGAACAAGAGCTAAACAGCACGAAGCGCAAGCTGTCCGATGAAATGGAAGAAGGCAAGAAGCTTCAGCTCAGGAAGGAGTTCGATGCTCGCGAAGCCCAGAAGCGCATCGATGAGCTCTCTGCCAGTCTGAGTCAGATCCGTGAAGAGCACGTCGCTGTTAAGACCAGCCGCGATCATCTGCAAGCTCGTGTTGATGAGCTCACTATCGAACTTCGTAATGCGGAGGACAGAGCTGGTCGCCTGGCGCCCCGACCAACGCCAAGGCCCGGGACAATGGCACCTCCTACCCAGACTGACCAAGACAGCGAGGCCGAGGTTCGCGAGTTAATCAATGAGGTTTCTGACCTCAAGAGGGAGCTCGACATCGCCAAGTCTCAGCTCGAGAATGCCAGGGAACAGACGGAGCAATACAAGCAACTCAGCGAACAGAATGAAGAAGCTCTTACCGAGTTCACAACGACCACAGAGCAATTCAGGGAGGAGATGGATGCTGCGTTCGCGGCCAAGGACGCCAAGATCAAGGAGCTGGAGCAGCGTGTTGAAGATCTGTCATCGGAACTCGCCAGCTCCAATAAGGAGCTGTCCCACCTCCGCGACTCCCAAGCCGAAGTTGCCCGCAAGTACGAGGACGAGAAGACAATTCTGGACGAGGAGGTGAAGCGTTTGAAGGAAGAAGCGGACCGCCACTCAGAAGCCGCTAAATTCCACCAACAGGACCTTCGTGCTCAGTCAGAGATCACCGCCAAGGCTCAACAGGACTACGAACACGAGCTCGTCAAGCACGCCGAGGCAGCGAAGCTCGTCCAACAGTTGCGCACCGAGTACAACGAGCTCAAGAGCCAGACGGCGACTCTGAGAGCTGAGGCCGAGTCGGCCAAGGTTGCCCTGTCTCAGAGCGAAAGTTCTTGGGAAGAGAGGAAACAGCGAATCGAGCAGGAAATGTCAGAAATCAAGGCCCGCCGTGATGATGTCAACGCACAGAACAAGCTTCTGCATGAGCAGCTGGAGAGCATCACGAAGCAATTCTCTGCACTCAAGGAGGGTCGCAATGCGGCGGCTGTAGACGCCAACGATGGCGCGGAAACCAGCAGCGATGGTGCAGCTGACGGTCTTCGGGAACTCAACAATTATCTCAGACGGGAGAAGGAGATCTTGGAGGTGCAGTACGACCTCAAGGTGCAGGAATCCAAACGCCTGCAGCAACAGCTCGAGTACTCCCAATCCCAGCTGGACGAGGCTCGGTTGAAGCTCGACCAGGAGAGACGCTCACAAGCTGAGAGCGGCCAAGCCTCTATTGCCCACAAGGATCTGATGGATAAGCTCAACGAACTCAACCTTTACCGGGAGAGCAGCGCCACTCTCCGCAACGAGCTCGCTCAAGCCCGGACTCAAATCTCCGAGAAGAACACCAAGATCGAGGAGTTGGAAGGCAAGGTGCAGCCTCTGGAGGCTAGAATCGAGGAGCTCCAAACTCAGAAGGGCTTCCTCGAGGAGGAAATCAAGCAAGTTCAGGAGGACCGTGACAGGTGGCAGAAGCGAACCGAGGGCATCCTTACGAAGTATGGCCGCGTTGATCCTGCAGAGATGGAGCAACTCAAGCAGACCATCAATAATCTGCAGGCCGAGCGCGATGCCCTTAAAGAGTCTGAAGGTCCTCTACGAGCAGAGTTCGAGGAAATCAAGCAGACGTTGGAGACGGAGAGGACCAATTGGGCGAACGCTCGCCAACGCATGACCGATCAGTTCAAAGAGCGGTCACGTAAGATCACTGGCGAGAAGAATGAGGCCATTGGTGCACGGAACGAGGCGGTCACGGAGAAGGATGCTGCGATTGCGGAGCGCGAACAACTGCAGCAGCGACTCAACTCCGTAAACACCGAACTCGAGACAACAAGACAGAACTTGCAGGCGACAACACAGCAGCGCACAGAGTTTGAGCAACAAGTCAAGAACTTCCAGCAACAGGTACAAAGGTTACAGCAGGATGCTCAAGCCAACCAATCTGGCGCGCCACTTCCTGCCGCTCAACCCACGGCAGACGGGTCTCCATCGGTATCTTTGGAAGTAGTCGCCCAGTTGGAGCAGCAACTCGCCGAGATGCGAAACCAGTTGGAAGCCATCTCAGCCCAAAAGGCGACCGCCGAGCAGGAGCTTGAGGGCCTGCGATCGCAACTGCAAACAACCGTCTCCGAGAGAGACCAGGCTGTCGAGGCCGCACAGCAGGCTGCCCAGGCGCAGCTTCAGCCTGCTGCCCAGCCGACGGCGGAGTCTGTTGCCACGAACGGCGCGAGTGGCTTATCCGACACTGAGCGGAAGGCTTTGGAGGAGAAGATTGCTACCGCCGAAGCCAAGGCTACAGAGGCTGAGCGCAAGGCTAAGGAGCTCGAGGAGAACATCACCCAGACCGTCAAGGAGCGGTCGGATAAGATGCGTAACGCACTCAACGAGAAGCTACGCCAATCTCGCGAAAAGATGGACGCCGATTTCGCCACCAGGATAGAGCAAGAAAAGGTTATTTGGAAGGCTGAGCAGCAAGGCGCCGCACCTGCTAAGCCTGCAGGAGAACAACCAGCTGTACCTGCAACGCCCATCAAGCAGCACGACCCAGACGCAGCTCCGACAACGCCAATGACCGGTACACCTGCTGGTGCCGCGGATCTATCTCAGTTGCCTGATGCCGAGATTCGGAAATTCCTTTCCACCAATGCTACCGTGCGCAACATCATGTCGGGAAATCTTAGAAAGAAACTCGAGGAACAGACTGCCAAGGTTAAGAACGAGACAGAGACGAGTATGAGGGCCGAGTTTGAGCAAAGAATCGCAAACGCTCGTGAGGAAGGTCAACTGCTGGCACAGAAGAAGTCTGCGCTGCAAATTAACATGAAGGACAACCAGCTCAGGGGTGCCAACGCCAAGATAGAAGTTGTGTCCACGGCCGCAACGAAGACGCCTCAGCGACCCGTTGGGGAAGTTTGGGAGGAAGCCAAAGTTGCCAAACCAGCTCCCGCCGCGCCGCAGCAAAGCCCGGCGAAGCCTGCTGGCAACACACAATCCTCGGCATCCCGTCCTTCGATTTCGGCGCCCTCAGCTGCCGCACCAGCCCAAGCTGCTGCTCCAACGATTGGTGAGTTTCCCCAACTGAACGTGCAACGCTCTACTCTTTCTAACCGTCCTCAAGCACCCCCAGCCTCAACCAACCAAGCACAGCCATCAGGCGGTGCTGCTACTAGCGGAATCCCTGCGCCGGGCAGCAGCATCCCTCAGAAGAGACAAATACCTGCTCCTGGAGATACAAAGCCGGCAGCCAACAATGCCGCAGCGAACCCGTTCGCGGCCGGTCCTGCTAATGGCACTCCGGCCCAGGCCAACCCTTTCTCACAAAGTACACAAGGACAGCAGCAGCAGCAGCAGCAAGCGCCACAGCAGCCACAGAACCCCTTCGCTTCCAGCACACAAGGGGCACCGGCGAACCAGGCCGCACCGCAAGGTCATGGGCTGCCGCAACCACCGGCTCAGGCTGCTCCAGGCCAAAGGAGTGGCATCCCTCTTCCAGGACGAGGCGGTGCAGCTGGTCGTGGTCGGGGTGGCGCTTACGCTGCCGGAAATAGGGTGTCAAGCGGAGGTGCAGAGAGAGGTGGTCCAGCAGGACGTGGTGGACGTGGTGGTGGCCGAGGAGGACACAATGCAGGCTCGTTGAACCCTGGTGCCAACGATTTCCAGCCTGGTAATAAGCGGCCTAGAGGAGATTCCGAGGCCGGCGGAAATGCTGGTGCGAAGCGAGCCAGAGGAGGCGGACACTGAGTCTCGAGACACGAGTTCATGGGCGATGTGGTAATAGCGGTGGTTATTGCTTTCCAGCTTTCAATCTGTATCGATATGCAAAAGGGGTGCAAGGTGGTTCAAGGAATGGATGAAAACGGGCAGGCCACAACGGTCTGTGAGTGTGTATGACCAGCATATACTCTACAAAATGAATTTTCCTATGTTGACCAGATGTGTTTTTGTCGCCGCCGGTGTGCTGCTGCAGTTTTGCCCTCTTTGATTCTTGGGTAAGGACGGCAAAGTCTACTGCTATAGTCAAGCAACACAACCGACGTGTCTCATCAAGTCGATCGAATACAACGAGCCATCGCATCTGCTGTGGCTTGTCAAATCTCCAGAGCCCATGAGTTGAGATACTTCGTCAGCCCTGCCGCCTTACCTACCTTACCAGGGAAAAGCACCTCGCTTCAACAGAGCAGGCAACCCAAAGAGCTCTGGTTAGGCGAGCTACTCGGACCTGATTTCCTTCTTATTCCAGGATTTGTAACGTGTTCCGTTGGGCAATCTGTGAGTCTGAAACGGAATAGAAGGCTAAGCCGACACGTTTTGCATACTGGACCGTCCACCAAACCCTGACTGAGAGCACATGGGCCTGGAAACTAGCTACTCGACTCGCGCAAGGGTAAAAGCCTGGCTTCCTGGCGGATCTCTTGATCTCGGAACCTCGTCCGGCCCCTCTCAAACAGTCTCCGGGACCCGCACCGGAGTCCATAGGAAATAAGCCCTACCCTCCGGAAACGCAGTAGCCCTGCCAAAAGACACAACACGGCTAGAGATGGGCCGTGAAAAATGTGTACACCATCCCGTCCCGTCCATCCACTAAATGCTCCATGGACTGGTTCTGGCTTGCCGTCGACAACACACCAAGTCATTGGATTTTATCCGCCCGGCTAGCTCAATCGGTAGAGCGTGAGACTCTTAATCTCAAGGTTGTGGGTTCGACCCGTAAGTTATAGCTGTTAACCTCATGATGATCAGTGAACGTCATCACTAACTCCTCTCAGCCACGTCGGGCTCAATTCCCGTCAGCGATTGACGCATTCTCTTTTTTGCTTTTCTCGATACTTTTGCCGCTTTTTGATTTACTCAATTCTCAACTTTTCCCCCTCATTGATTGATGTCTTGCTTCTCGTGTGTCCTCCCCTCTCACAGCTCAATCTCCGGGGTCCTGGCCCTGTACCCGATAACCGTCCTCGGATCCGGCACAAAGCGACTGACGAACATGCTTGTCGGGGGTTTCTCTTCCACAATCCTCCAATCGTAGTTCATGATTAGATGAGTCAACACAATCTTCATCTCGTTGCTGGCAAAAAACCGCCCAGGGCACGCGTGCGTTCCATGGCCAAAGGCGAGGAACTCTGGACTCGTCGAGACGAATTGCCACCGGTTCTCCTGGCCTGGCTCCTCTCGCATGCGGAGAAACCTGTGGCCGTCGAACTTTTCTCGCTCGGGTCCCCAGAGGGCTGGATCGCGGGTGTTGTGTGTGGCCACGGTGATTAAGGTGCCCTTTGGGAGGTAGGTCCCGTCAGAGAGGGTCATGGCCTCTTCGACTCTGCGGTTCATGATATCTAGGAGGCGTGTTAGCAGGTCGTCCATCCAAACCCCCTCGCGGTAGGACCCAAATGTGCTTACGAGGACCCAATATGTGCAGTCGCTGGCTCTCTTTCATACAGCTGTCCATCAACTTCAACTTGAAGAGGCTATTCTTGCTCCAACCCCCATCCTCAGTAAACACCTTGACAATCTCTTCTCTCAACAGCGTAAAGTACTCCGGGTACGCCAGCAAATCATACAGTATGGCAGTCACCACAGAAGACGTCGTGTGAATCGCCGCGAATGTGAGAAACAGCTGTCCAGCAACGACATCAAACTCCCGCCCGCGCCGGACATCGTCAATCCATGATAGTGAATCCATAGGTCTCTCCTTCTCATCCCTCGCAAGTCTTCGCGCTGCAAGCTCCGGCCCCATAATCCTTCGTGCCTGCTTGATCTGACTTCGGAGGTACTTCAGCGTCGGCACGAAGCGATGCACTAGAGGGCGGAGAAGGACTGGCCAGGCGCGCAGAGCTCGGCCCGCGCGAAGAATGACACCAGTGAAGTTGATGGAGACTGCTATCCACTCCTTATCACGACAGAGACGGTCCCCAAGGAGAATTTTTGCTGATAACCGTGCGGCTATTTGAGTGGCCACAGGAAAGAATCTGACTTCTTGCCACTCTTTGCTTGACGGGAGTTGCTCTCGGAGAATGAGGGACGTCTCTTCCCGAAGTCGCTCCGTCAAGTACACTGAGATACAGATCAGCATTATTGTTTTTGATGTCTTTGCCTGGCTCTCGCTCTTTCGAGGAGCTCACTTACCCAGCTCTTGGTTGAGGTTCTTCCGCATGGCTTCTTGTATGACTTCTCCCTTGAGTCCATCTTGCAGGATATCCAAGCCGGGATAGCGCGTGAGCCATTGCTGCGACCACCAAGATTAGAAGAATTCTGCCCATAAGTCTCGACATTTGATCATTCCCAAGTCGCCCATTTCAAACACTTACTCGATCAATGAATCCGGTGAATGTTAAGCGTTTGTCATTCCGAACTTCGTCGCATAGACTCGGGGGCAGCATCACCAACGGACCAAACGGGGAGATGACCTGAAATGGTCGGCCGTGTGTCTACGAATTCAAGTCAATACAGAATTCTTAGAGATTGCAGTCAGTTTGAGCGTACTTCCTCGAATCCTGCCCGCAAGAGCTCAAAGGCGTTGTTGTTCCATCTTTCCCTCGCCTTCTCATATGACCACTCTCCTCGTTCTTTCCCGATCAACTTGAAGCCCGCATACGGCTTATCTTCTCGGAAATGCCAAGCTAAAAGCCCTAGAGCACTGAGAGAAGCGAATACCAGTACTGTCAAGGTTCCAAGCTGGTTCCACGGATGGTAGTCAACGAGAGGCTGTAGCAGGATGTCCATGTTGTTTCGGAGACTTGGAGGCTCTGCAATGCTGATCCTAGTCTTGAACGTCTTGGCGTAGCCAGGTGACGCGGGGAAGCTCGGCAGTTGAGCCTCGATGTCGATGAGTATCTTGTGGCTCTCAAGTTGCCCTTAGCACTCTGTCCAGAGTGACTGGTTGTCTGAAGTTAGAATCGGATGGGTGCGCAATGTCTTTTCTTCCTGCGTGTCACTGGATGAAGAACGCGAGGGGTAGACATCGGACCTGCGGATAAATTGGGGTTTTTGTTCTTTTATCCTGAATTCCATGCTACATTACTCGGTGTAACAGTATTTTGACTTTCCCATGGTTCGGTCTTTTGAATCCAGCGAGGCCGTGCTGATACACGCTGCGAACTCTATTTTGAGCTGCAGCGGAAGATTAAGTCAGATCAGATGCACGTCCCCACGTCGTCAGGGGTTCATTGTTGAAGGCTGAAGCTCTTCACGATGGAATTTACCGGGAGGTGAACACAGACTCTTGATCCACAATGGATAGATACTGAGTAGGCCGGGAAGGGAGTCTCGACGGAGATATCTGACTCCAAGTCACATGCCACGTAGCTCCAGACTCTAGGTACTAGTGGTTTGTGCCAAATATTGAGGTATTCATGTCACTCCGGCTTCATGCTCGGCAGATACACAGACCTCGCGCGTGCTTGATCGACAACGCCAACATAAAATATCAAACACTTGTATGGCGGACCTTACATAAGTAGGTACTGAAAGACAACTACTACCAAGATCTTTTGCAAAGGCTATCCCCATCAGCAGCTTACTTACTACAGACAAAAATGCGATCAGATATCTAACGAAAGGTATGGTACTTTCGGTGAGCGAAGCAAAAGATGATCTTGAAAGGGACGAGACTCGAACTCGCGCGGGTTGCCCCACCAGGAAACAGATGTTAAGCTGACCTTAACCTGGCGCCATAACCAACTCGGCCACCCTTCCAGATGAATCAGACTCCATTGGAGCTGTTGTGGATGCTGGTCTTTGGCAAGGGAAGCATCCATAATCTCATGGCATAATATTTCTGCTTGTTGTGGAGCGTTAGAGGAGCAATCAGTGCGGCAATCGATGAGCTTCAAATGTCTCAGTGCGGTGGGGCTGCGGTTGAGTGTGGTTTTTGGAGTGATCCAGGCCCAACACGACCCGCAAGTGAAAAAAGGGACTGGGCAGAAAGGTCCCCTGGAGTACCATAGGCCATGATTGGAATTTATCATGAGTAATGCCTACGAAGGGAAGTTCTGAATACGAAGATCCAATTCTGTTTCTGGTATTGACAGCAGCAGAGAAGACATCGCCCGTGACGAGAACTCCTCGCTCTACCTCTTAGCTCGGCCCACAACATGCATGCCGCTCAGTCCTCTTGAACCCATGTCCTCGGCGTGAATATTGATAGCCAAGGCACTTTAGAGTATGCCTTCCGGATAGACCACCTCTCAGCACAATCAGGTTTGAAACTCGGGGAGCCTTGCCCTAGTCGCATTCAGTAGAGTGGTAATCGCTCCTCTTAAAGCTATGGATATATTAGGCCCGCATGCCACTCTTTTTGAGTTGCTTGACCATCTTGACCTCCTCTTCCAACAGGTGGTTGTCCTGTCCCTCGGGCCCGGCCGTGGGATATAGCAGATGCAGTGGGACCTCCCTGACACTGACAGAGTTGTCATCCTTGCTTCCAACTAACATCGTCTCCACAACATTTCCGTCGCCAAATTCAGGCTCGCAAAGTACACGCATCAGGACAGCAGCGCATTGCTGTGGAGTGAGAGTCGGATCGCCCGGACGCACTCTGTCACAGCAATACTCTGGATGAAAAATGGGAGTCTGCGGACAGTCAGTTCGTTGTCGGTATGAGAGCGGGAAAACGGGAAGAAATTGGCGTGATGTAATGCAGACTCTGTTTCACTCTAACACTCACATAGACCGCTCCAGGACAAACTGCAGCGTTCCGGATACCCAGCTCCTTTCTGAGGCCACCAAGACTCTTGACCATGCTGACGATTGCAGCTTTGCTGGCAAAGTACATCGGCGTGTGCATTGAGTGCACGTAACGGCCCAAACTTACGATCCAAAGGAGGTTGCCTTCGATATTGCGATTTTGAAGCCAATAGTCAATGGCGATTTGAGCCAACCGAATTGGCCCAATGGTGTTTACCGCGAAAGTCTTGTACTGGCCGACTTTGGCATCAACAGGGTCTTGTGCAAGAGGAGAAACCCCAGGGGCATTCCAGAAACAGCTTGATGGAGGCTCATAGACACCCGCGCCATTGCAGACAATGTCGATATGCGGGAAGATTTCGAGTGCGGCCGCCCACAGTGAGCTGATTTGGTTCCAGTCGGAAACGTCTGTCTTGTGGAAGATCGCGTAGGCGCCACGAGAAGCAAGAGCGTCTTTGGGATATTTGGCAATAGTCGCTTCAGCTTCAGGCCTCAAATGAATGTCGGCAATAATGACTGAGCATCCCGCATGTAAAAGAAGTTCAACGAATGCATGGCTGATACCTAGCTCAACATACATTAAGTTTCTTGAGCGAATCTCTCATGCCTTTAGGTTTGGGGCGTAGCTTTGACTTACCAGAACCAGCGCCTGTGACAACGGCGAACCTGCCCTTAATATTGTAGGCTGACATATTGCCAAAAATAAATGAATTGGAAATATTGCGAGACTCAGGAAGGAGAGAGGCGAACCAAGCTTTGTGAGTCGGACCATCCGTTCTATTAATTCAAGTTGGTTCATATGGCCTCCACTCCCATCTTCAACCCTGTCTTTGTTGGTCGTCTTTGCATCGGAGTGGACCTTGACACGGAGCGTTTCAGGGGGCCTCGACTTTCAGCGGGTAAGTAAACTGAACTTCCGCAACAGATATCCTGCCTCTACTTGCAATAAACGAAGCTCATGATCTCATCTTCATGAGACAATGACTCCTTATGTAGATTCACGGAGAACATCGCCGGAAAGGGGTCTTTTTAGATATTATCTCTGGCCAAGGTAAAGAGATGTCGCCATGCCGAGTTCAATAGAGATCAGAAGTGTTCACAGCTAAAGAAGCGGTCGTCGGTCGGTCAGAACGATGCTTCTCCATCTAGCTCGAGCATCGTTGAGTAGTTGCCAGTGTTTCGTAAAGTCACGCATTTATGATCATTGGAAACTAGCCACTTGTTCGTCACAACGTGCACCAGGCGGAGAATGAGATGATGTGGCCAACAGACCGTGGACCGAGCGGAATAGATACAACCAGGGTATGGTTGAGCCAGTGGTTGGTGTATTGTCAACACGGTCCGATGCGGTTGGAAGCTCGACCGCAGGATAAGTAACCAACAAAATGACTGTACGTTCTGATATTGGCTGATGTTACATGTGGCCTATCGTCAATTGTGCCGGTCGTACTCCTTGCACCTGCAGCAGTAAGCGGAGAAGCACATGAGTAAATCAGCAGCCAAGGATTTCTCCAGGCAACTATACCGAGGGGGCGTCGCTACTCTCACGCGTGGTCAGATCGCTAAAAGGGGAGGTAGATGTAACTCCATGTTCTCAAGAAACACGACCTCTTGTCATGAATAAGCCTGCAGCATCCTTTGTGATTTGGAATATGCAGGTATACAAGGCATTCTCGCTAGTCCGCGACTCCGACTTCCGCATGTACTGCGGTAAATAGCTCGACAATCGAAGCATTGGGCCATGTCACACAGTCACGCAACGCACCACCAGCGGATCCACACACAGGGTAGCTAGGTGGCTTCGGACCTCCTGCATTGCAACACTCCCCCACGTCTATTGATGTCTATTGATTCTTGATGCCCAAGGTAGCCACCAATGTATCGGCATCCTATCACCTTCTAGAAGACTGCAGGTTCCCCATGCGGGAGAGCGTAGGATGGTTCTGCACTTTACAATGTGATGGAGCCAAGATCCATGAACACCAGACATTGACGAATCATCGATAATGCCAGCGAAGACAAAACTGAGAACTGCTCCTATCAGTTATCCAAGCCTTTCAATAGTCTAAGTGGAAGGCCGCTCGCTTAGGGTCAGCTGTCACGGAGAGCAGAAACCTTAGTACAACGATGTTCCCTCAACATTTGGCTTTTCATCGCGAGATCGTGTGGACTTCCGAAAAGCACGAGTATGCGAAAATTCACAGCCGAGAATACGAAAAATTGAACTTTTGAACATTCACCGGCATCGTTGTACCTGGCAGCCAGACGATGCGATTTCCTTTTGTGGTTGATGTGGCTGGCTATGAAGGTGTGTGATTGTCAGCACTTATGCGACCGTATCGTCCGATCCACTTGACAAGCGATGCCATCTGAAGCAGCATCATGGCGCCCCAATTTCTACATTTACGGAAGGTGTCCAACTTGACAGAAAATCGTATCTCAGGAAACTTGATTGGTACATGCGAAGGAAGACCCATCTGACCTCGGCTGTGCTTGCTACATGTTTAATATATTTACATAAAATGGTCCTCTTCTGCCCCCTCTTCAACTCTACGCACGCAACACATTCGCATCACCAACCTTCAACTCTTGTCATCCTACCCGTCATGAGCGCTGATCTATCAAGGCTACTAGCGTTATTTTTGTTTTTGTTCTTAGGGTTGGGAATGTGCGTTGAGTCTTTATCCGCGACGTGTCAACAACTATCCGCATCGACGAAGATCCAACAATACCAGGGAATCGAGATAGAGTACACTCAGGAACAACAAAACTATTGGTAGGCTTCTTGATCCACCGCTGAATTCTTTTAACCGCCATTAGGTCGACTGCTTGCAGCAACCTTAAGCCAGGCTGTATCCTAGTTCCAACGAGTGCTGCAGAGGTTTCAACAATTGTCAAGGCCCTGCTTAATAATAAAGAACAGTTCGCTGTCAAGTCGGGAGGACATAACCCGAACAACTACTTTGCAAGCGTCCAAGATGGCCCTTTGATATCTACAAGAGGGCTGAAAGAAGTCGTTTACCACAAGGAGAACAACACGGTCAGCGTCGGTCCCGGAAACAAATGGGAAGAGGTTCACGAAGCTCTCGAAGGAACCGGAGTCACCGTAGTTGGGGGCCGCATCGGTAATGTCGGCGTGGGTGGCTATCTTCTAGGAGGTATCTTCCATGTTCAACTTTGACATCTGTATAGAACGAGGTATCTAACGTTGTTCAAGGGGGCCTCAGTTTTCTCAGCACCCAATACGGCTGGGCATCGAACAACATAGTGTCGGCGGAGATGGTACTTGCAAATGGATCGATAGTAACCGCATCCAATACTTCCAATCCGGACCTTCTTGCTGCCATCAAAGGAGGTGGAAACGCTTACGGTATCGTAACAAGGTATAACTTACAAGCGCATGCAATAGGACAGGTAAGTGCTGTGCTCCCTCTACCAGCGACTTGCCATTGGCGATAGAATCTGCTAACACAAGGGGCAGATATGGGGTGGAAACTTGGTATTTGGAGGCGAGAAAACAGACGAGATACTTGTGGCGATTCGCAACTTCACTGAGCATTACTACGACCCAAAGGCAGCCATCATCGCGACTTCGGAGTTGACTGTCTTAAACAGCGTCAATATCTGGATCTTCTTTCTGTTTTACGACGGACCACAGCCTCCATCTGGGGTATTTGACGAATTCTTGAAAATTAAATCAACGCTCAACACTTGTAGGACGAGGTCCTACACAGACTTACTCAAAGCAAATAATGTCTTCGTCTTGAAAGGTAGTGTTTACACTATCGCTACTGAGACAACACCCCTTCCGCCAGCCGCAGCAGGCGCAAAGGTGATGCGATCTTACTACGACCACTGGTACAACACGTCAGCGGTAAAGTCAGGAATAGCTGGTATCATTGCCTCGATGGCTTTTCAGCCCATACCGAAGTCACTAGCCCGGATTAGCCGAGACAAAGGCGGCGATCTGCTGGATCTTGACGACGGGGTCGACAGAATTATCTTCGAGTTTGATTACTCCTATCTGTTTCAACTGGATGACGCAGCTGTCGATGAGACAATGGTCAAGTTGTATACTGGTATGAAGTCTCGTGTTGATGGATTTGTCCAAGACGGTACTCTTCCAGACGTCTACAGGCCCCTGTTCATGAACGATGGATATTTCCGACAGGACTACTGGGGAAGATTGAAGCCAGAGAAGAGGGAGTTGGCGGAAAGAGTGCGGGCTTCGGTTGATCCGGAGGGCTTATTCCAGAACAGGACCGGAGGGTTCAAACTCTAAGTCCAAATCATCCAGATTCCAAGTATGCAAAATTTAGGCTGCGTTATTTTGTGACCAGCTTTGGTAGTCATTCAAATTGCATGGTGTTAAGCTGAAATTGTGTGCTCATACCGAGCTTCTGGCGAGTGGGTCATTGAAGCCTCATCGGGTGGGATTCTCTTGAGTCTTGACGCCTACCCAAAGGGCAATATAGAGATCAAGTGACCCTTCAAAAACACGTTGGGTAGGCCAGGAATTGACGTAAAAGCTCGTCATATTACGCCGCAAATTTCCTCTTGTGTGAAGCTTTTGCCCAAAGCAAATGTGCACGTGGAAATTTACTTGTTATGGAAAGGTTTTGTTGCAAACTCTGCATGTAAATTCCCAAATGTAGATATGCCCCCAGAGCCTCGTCCCGTCGACTTAACCAGCCATTGTAAGGATAACGATACCCTCAAAGGGTGTACCTAAACTCCTTGTTCATACGATCAGTCATATCGCTGAACTCGACATCCTTCAAGTGGCCGAGCTCCCCTGCTTGAACAAGTCCATCCCGTCGCTTATTTTCCCATATGTAATAGTACCTTAGCATCAAGGTGAACACCATCGCTAATCCGCAGGTTACGATGATCGCTGTCTTGGCAGGGAGGTATCCGGGCGCAGACTCTGCCGTGAATGTCAGGGGCCCGATGATATTACCAACACAGAAGCAGATGAGCAAAGTAGCATTCATGGTGACCTAGATTCACACATTAGTTCTGAGTTGCAAAGAGTTTCGATCAATTCCTACGCACCTTTTTGGTATGACCCGCGTAGTTGGCGCCAACCAGAGAATATAACAAAGGCAAAGTCGCTCCAATGCAGTTTGTCATGTAGTTTCCAATCAATTTGCCTGCTTTGTTGTCCTCTGGAAGGAAAGCCATCAGCGCAGCTCCGATAACACCGGGTATCAGGAGGCAAATGATGTTGATAGCTCTTTGGTTGAATCTCCCTGCCACATTGGTAGCCGCCAGAATTGAGATGATACTGACTGCGCCTGAAGGGATAGATAGAAGCGCAGTCTCCTTGGATGTGTACCCAAAACCCTTGATGATGGTGGCTTGAAATGAGGAGACGGCACCATTAGGCACGTTTGAAGCGATAGTGATGAGTGCCAAAAGGTAGGTCTGCGGGTCTGTGAAACATTCGATTGCCTGCTCGCGCTTGAACCGCTTATTTTCAACGCCAGTCTGGTTGCTTCTTAGCCGCTCGATAGCCCAGATTTTCTCCTCACGGGAGAGGAAGTGTGCGCTCATTGGATTATCCGGAAGAACTAAAATTACCGTGATACCGATGGCAATAGTGATTAGTCCGCAGATAAGAAACATTATCTGCCATGAGGTGAAGCCGGAGCTGTGGTAGTGCTGAAAACCGAAAGAAATGAGGGAGCCG